TTTTTATATTGTTTGGATTAACTAGCCGAGTAGACTATGGATGTTTATTCATCATAACCATACTGAAAATAAGTAAATATTGTTAGCTGATGCTAACTGTTTAGCTAACAAGCAAGCTTGTTAGCTAAACAGTTAGCATCAGCTAACAATATTTACTTATTTTCAGTATGGTTATGAATAAACATTCATATCTGTCTGCTCGGCTAGTTAATCCAAACAATATAAAAATGTATACTGTTGATAAACAATATAAAAACATGTCACATAGGGCTAAATGCGTAGCATTTTAATAAAACCGTTAACGTTACGGCAGCGGGGAATATGAACGTGCATGATTTATTTTATTTAGTCTGGTATTTTAATGTTTCGTTTTTTTGCCTAAAACAGAGACACTGATGTTGATGTGTCTGCATTCAAGCATTTCAGTGGGCTTAAATAGATCACACTTTACAACAGATTTAGTTCACAAACAACTGACAGTTTTGACCTAAATATGATTTTCAGTTACAATAATTAATCCTAAAATTCGACATTAGTAACTTAACGCGCGCGCGCTCACACGCGCGCGTGGTTCTTACTTGTGAATTCAGTTCACTGGAGACTCGCACTAAACGGTTCATTTGAATCAGTGAGTTTTTCGACTCGAGAACAGCTGCAATCGGTTCATTCTAATTCGTGAATGAATCGTTTGGTGCGATTTGCGAACCGATTTAAAAGGGTCCTTGAAAAGAATCAGTTCGTTCTTGAATCAGACACCGCTTCTGCGTGTCAGAGCCATGGACTGTTAAAAAACGGCACATGATATATTATAAGGAGTAACGATATGTTTTATGAAATGTAGTGAAGTAAAAAGTACGATCTTATGCTTTGGAATGTAGTAAAGTAAAAGTTACTCAAAATAAAACTACTCCAGTAAAGTACAGATACTTGAAAAATTGACTTAAGTACTGTAACGAAGTAAAACTACTCCGTTACTGTCCACCACTGAAAATTACATGTGTCTGGTGTTTTCAAATGACAGATTTTTCATTTTTGGTTGAACCATTGGTCTACCTTAAGTGAATTATAACAGGTATTCACATTATATATTTCAGATGGTGATTATTCATGATTTGCGTTTCCTCAATGTCTTGTGTTTAGGTGTGTCACTGGCAGGAAAAAGGGCTGTGGTAATTGGCCGCAGTAAGATTGTTGGTGCACCAATGCATGACCTTCTCCTTTGGAATCATGCAACTGTAACGACCTGTCATTCAAAGACTGCAGACTTGGTCTCTGAGGTACAGAGTTTTCAAGCATTATTTCCACAAATTTTCAGCAAAATATGTAAACTTGAAAGGAAAAAGTTATATTAGCTAATAGAAAAATTGCAGATCCAGTGATTATATGGGCAGGTTTCAATATGTAAACACACTGTCCACATTTTAGAATGCTAAATATCAAAATTATGAAATAACATTAATTGTCATATAATTGTTGTTTGTGACTATTATTTTTTATTATTTTTATCTACAAAAAATTACAAAGCCTAAACCGTAAGGCTTAGAGACATGAAACTTGGTGAGATGGTGCTACTATTGCTTGCTACTCAGTGGCTAATAAGTGCTACAAAACAAATTGTTGTGGTCTGTACTTTAATTGTTTGAGTTGTAGGTGGGAAAGGCAGACATATTGGTGACTGGGATTGGTAAACCAGAGATGGTTCGCGGAGAGTGGCTGAAGGATGGTGCCGTGGTCATTGACTGTGGTATAAACACAATCACAGGTAGGTTGTAACAAAAGCACTTAAAAGTGGAAGTGAAGCGGTCAATCAAGTTTACATTATTTAGTAAACTGATTTCCACTTGAATTAAAAAAAAAAAAAAATATTAGTACTTATAAAGCACATATACTGCATCACCATATTCTATATTCCTAATCCTACCTAATACCTAAACTTAACAACTACCTTACTAAGCAGTAATTAGGAGTTTGAGGCTAAATTTATAGTTAATAGTTAATTAAGTGAGAATTGGACCTCAAAATAAAGTGTGACCGTAGTAATAAGTACTAGTTCGAAGTACTAATAAACAGCCAATATGCTAGTAATATACATGCTAATAAGCAACTAGTTAATAGTGAGAATTGGTCCCTGAACTAAACTGTTAACCTGTTTACTTGTTAAATAACATTTCTGTCAAGCACTTTAAATTACCACGGTGTATGAAATGTGCTGTGTAAGTAAACTTGCCGTGCCTTGGCATGTCATGTCTTTATTGAACACATCTCATTAAACATTCACAATGTTTTTCTCAATTTCCTGTCTGGATGATCCACAACTGTTTTATCATTTTGTGATGAGTTTGAGTTGTTCATGTGTCCCTTGTTTGTCCTGAGCTGTTAATCTGTTCACTGTTCTTTAGAGAAATCCTCTAGGTCCTGCACATTCTTTGTTTTTCCAGGATGTTTTTCATATTTGAAACCTTTCAAATAGATGTTTAATGGAATGTGTTCAATAAAGACATAAAGTAATACAAGTCACAGAGATGTCAGACTTGGAAGGATTGTCTGAAATGTGCACTAGTAACTCAGGTGAACTTACATAGTCATTCAATCTCTTACATTTTATTTCAGACAGCAGCAGGCCAAATGGGAAGAGACTTGTTGGAGACGTTCACTATGACTCTGCCAAAGATAAGGCTGCATTTATTACACCTGTACCTGGAGGAGTCGGTCCAATGACTGTAGCCATGCTCATGCAGGTACATTATTCCTGTTTCTATTGGAAATGACGCCTGTTATAGCATTTTTTTTCTTTTTTATTGTAATGTCTACTTTTTATTCTTGATAAAATTAAAAAAATTTCAATTTTACTCTTTATCTAGCATGTTTTAGCCAGCACATTTATTTATATTTAGTAAACTAAATTCTGATGAAGGCCAGAGGAAAGTGACTTACCCCAAAATGTTTCTCAACATCAGCATTAGAAATGAAAGAAATGTGTGGAAAAGCCTTGATAAAAAGATTATGACATGCATTTATTGTGAAAAGAATTTTTTGTTGTATTAATACAGTACAAGCATACAATACACAACTTCTAAACATAGACATATTTCTACGTCTAAATAACCATTAAAATGCATGGAAAGATGACAAAATCAAAATTAAGATACTTAAATACTTAATAGCACCATGGGTTTCAAAAATGAATATACACCATTCAACAAACTTTCTAAGATTCTAGTGTTTAGTATGTCCTCAATTGCTTTTAAGTAGTGCTCCAAGCTTTCTTGGCATTGAGTGTACAAGTTCGAGCATATTCATTGTCTGACTGTCGCTTCTTGTGTATGACTTCTTTGCCTGTTTTGGATCACGTTTCTTGAATCACTTTTTGCCCAGTCTGCTGGTTGGATTATTTTGGATATTCTGAGGAGTTGAGACAAATCAGGAAGTTTATTTACAAAGCAATCTTTAGTGGTAGAAGTAGTAGTTATACAGTAGTTATACTTTTGTAACAAGTTGATTTTGTACATTTGGCTAAATGGAGTATACTCAAGACTAGATAATGATCTGAGATGTCATCGCTCTGTTGTAGTATTTTAATGCCGTAAACATGAACTGCATGTGACAATGTTAAGTCTAAAGTATGATTACGACGATGAGTGGGTCCTGACAGATGTTGTCTATATCCAGTTGAGTTTAGAATGTCTCTAAATGCTAAACCCAATGCATATCTTTCATTATCTACATGGATATTGAAATAACCAACAATTAAGACTTTATCTGCAGCCAGTATTTTAGAAAATTATTTGATCAAATCTGTATGGTGCCTGTATACAGTAGCCAGTACAAATGTCAAAAGGGATTTATAATTTACACTTGTTACACTAGATAACAATAATAATAATAATAAAAATCACTTCAAAAGAGTTATACTTGAAACCAGACTTATTGCCTTTTGGTTGTGGCACATGTTTATAATAGTAACCTTGGGGGTAGACTAATTTAAAGTAACCATCTGGTTTTAGCCAAGTTTCTGTCAAACAGAACAAACATCTAGGTTATCATCTGTGATCATATCATTCACAAAATGTGCTTTTGTAGAAGGGGATCCAATATTCATCAGGCAGAGCTTTATTTATTTTATTATTTTTATTTGTTGAACATTAAAACAATACAATTTTACCCTTAAATTGGTTCAAGAATGTGCTAGTTTGGAAAACAGTCGTAGTCTCTATAGTGTAATATCTGAAAAATAGTAAAAGTGTCTCTATGTGTTGGGATTTATCTGACTTCTGTGACACGAGGCAGCTAGCAGACGGTCGGTTTACCAGTCTGTCTGCTTCCTGACCTGGGCCCAGTTAGTCAAGTGCCAATTTACTTGAAAATAGCAATCTTAGAGTATTTACGTTTAGCATTAGCCAACACTTTTAAATTTGCCAAGATGCCAGGCACTCTGGCTCCTGGTAAACATTGGACTATGGTGGCTGGCATCTCTATTTTCACATTCCATACAATAGAATTGCCAATAACTAGGGCACTTTCAACAGGTTTCTTAGTGGGTGTGTCACTGAGTGGGTTTAATATACTGTAGATTAATACTAATATAGATTATATCAGATATATGGTGATTAAATAAGTTTTATTTAGCAGTTTAAATGACAATGAATGACAGTAAGATAAAGATTCAAAACAAAGCTACACAGAGCTACAATTGCAAACTTCGCAGCAGTGAGGCAGACAACTGAAAGCCTCCAACAGGAACTGAAACCATTGTAGAGGTAGACACCTCAGATTGTGGTATCAGGGTAGTCCTCTCCCGAAGCAGTCTGGGTAAAATTCACTCCTATGCAACCCCACTATGCAAGACCCTCTCAGCAACCCTTTACCTTTACCAAGAAAGTGGCAAGATGGAAACCACTATTTTCTGTTTCAAACTTTCACATAGCATCTTTAGGTTATAATAACATAGAAAATTCAAATCCAGATTTAGATTTTCAAAGATGTATTATAAAAATTTATTTATTTTTTTCCCCAAAATGCAATAAATCCATGACAAGGTTTTTTTTTTTTTTTTTTCAAAATGCAATAAATCCATTGAATTAATATAAAAGTTATTTTTCTTATTGAAACTGTTGAAAATACACAACATGGTTAATCCACATATGACAGCCTCTGAACTTGGTCAATACTAATCTTATATACAGGCACTGGACTAAAAAAATACATTAAATCAGTCATCGCTTCCAAAATGAATTCAACGGGTCATCTTGTTAATGCTATAAATTAATTACAGCAATAAAAGAAAATTATCATGAACAAAATGACATTTCCCTTATATTCAACTTCCAAAAGTGCATTCACCTTTGCCATGTTACATTCATTAGTTGACTAGTGCTATACGCTGTATTACCAAAAACATAAATGGCATTAATAAAAACACTTACACTGACAAGCTGCAATATCGCGTTCATAATAAATGAGTCGCATTCGATTATGAACGCGATATTGCATAGTCAGTGATCTACGGCTCTGTGTATCCATCTGAAAGCACGTGATGGAGATTTACTA